GAGCTATTTACCTTATAAAATAAATATGAGCTCTTCAGTTCATGGATAAAAGATGAGTTTTTTGGCTCATAGAATACAGAGGAGATCTATATAGCTCGCAAGAAGTAAACACCTCAGAAAGCAAGGAACGATCTAAAACTGTTCATTACTAGAAAGCAACAACAAAAGACAAATGCTTGGCAATCGACAAGGTAGGCTTTTCAAAAAAAAAAAAAGAGAGAAAAGCCCGTGCAGCCATGAACGAGTCTGGGAGGTTGGATTCTTTCCTTGGATATGACGAGGCTCAATAAGTTAAATAGTTGGGTCACATCCCAGAGGAGACTTCTCAGATTTCTTTGGGCTGACAAAAAGGGGAGCTTGGTTTCTAAGGCACAGTAAGGCTTCATGAACATAAGCAGATGCTAGAGCCATATTACCAACAATGCTAGTAGATGCATCAGAAGCAACTATACCCTTGTCTCTATACCCAACAACAGGGAAAACCAATCCAAGAATGAAACCAGATTTCCCGTGGTTAATGCGCACTGCAGACCTTAAAAAAGTTCTGGGAGACCTACACCAAGGACTTCTGGGCTCCGGGGAAGTAGGAGCTCTAGACTCCATTGCCTCAAGGGGATCTAAATGACACCTCGAAGCAAGGGGGGAAGGAGGATCATAAGTAGTGATGTGTAACTTAGCAAAAATGAAACAATAAGATAAGCCCTAAGGGAACAGGGGTTTCTTGATAGTGGTTCATACAAGGCCAGCATCTACGAGCGCTCATAGAAATAGACTTCCAGTTTTGTGGTTAGGATTAGCAGAAGGAAAAAATAGCTCCAACATTTTCCTGATACTCCTCATCCATCTCAAGCGTTCTCAGCACTCGGTAAGCTAGGAAGAACACGGCATGATAAGCTGTAGCAAAATTTGAGAAATAAGGCAAAACTCAACCCTTTACTTTGGAGGTTAGATGCCTTTGGGCTGAGGTCAACTCGTGTGGTTGTGTGGACCTTCTGGTATATCTCCTCAAAGAAGCCTTATATGGATCTTGGGTTAGACTTCCAGAATCCCTTAAGAAAGTTTTCAGATTTCTTTGGACTGAGGTCAGCTTGTATGGTTGAATGGACCTTCTGGAACATCTCCCCAACGGAGCCTTTTGGATTTCTTTGAATCAATGTTTACTTGTATCCCTACATGAATTCTCTGATCTTTATGTTCTAAAGAGTGCACAATGTGAGCCGGTATTACAAATATAGCTCAGATAGACTGAAAGAATGATGTGCAACATTTCAAAACGAGGATTATACTTCAGAGCATCAAAAGCGAAGTTACAATCCAAAAATAAGAGTCATTCCAAACAAAAATTATAGCTCAAGATCCTAAGTTTCAGAAGAAGGAGTAAATAAAGGGTTTTGCAATTCCGCGGACGAAGCTTCAGCAGCAGGAGCAGAGCCCGGCAGCTCAGAGGATAGGGGCCCAGGTGGTAGAAGAGCAGAATTCTCAGGCGTGCTAGTCGCATAAACCTCTACTCTAGCCATTGGCGAGTTCTGAGCAAGGGCCTCAGTCACGAGGTCAACAAAAATGGAGGTATTAGCAGGAACAACTGGAGGAATGGACATTTCAGTATCTTCCAGAGCCCTATCAGAAGCAGCAGGAGCCAAGGTGCTATCATCGCCCTCTGAATCAGTCTCCTCCAACTCCTCCTTAGTGGGGATGGCAAAGTCAAAGTCGAGGTCTGGATAGGTCTTCTCTATTTTGCGTTGAAAGGCCAGTCATCCAAAGGCCCACTTGGTGGTGACATCATCCTTCAACTCGACTATTATATCGTCCCTCTTCTTGACAGTAGTCTTCTGCACCTCGAGCTCACTACATAAGGTCTCGTTCACCTCAGCCAGGATGACATGCTCCTTTTTAAGGCCCTCAAGGGAACTCTGAACATCAAAGGCTTCTTGGCTAGCTTTGGTCTAGGCATTAGTTTTGAGTAGCAGCTCTTCCTTGGTCATCCTCAGCTCATCCCTGGTCCTCTTCTCTCTTTCCTCAGCCCTATCCTTGGTTGCTTGAAAGCCTTTGAGGTCAGAGGCCTACTTCTCCATTTGTTCCTTGAACCTTTGCACCTGAGCTCTGAGGTCCTTATTGTCAAAGGTCAGCTCAACGACCTTAAACTCGTATGTCTTCAATGTTTTAGCAGAGTCCTCCGAAGATTGGAACCTGCCCATCAAGCTCTTCAAATGGAGAGCCATCTGGGGGCAGAAAAGAAAACAAATACAGATCAGCACAAGTCAACTGCATCGAGCTAAAAGGGAGAGTAAAAACACTTATAGTGACTGTTCCTTGGAGAGCTGAGTAGAAAAGGCCTTAGGGGGCATGGTAAAGGCCCTCTGAATATTGGATTCAAGAAGACTGGATGAAATGGCCCCAACAACCAACTCAACATTGTCAAAGAAGGAGTCTTCATCAGTTTCCCGGTCCTCCCTCTTTTCGACTTTGGGGCTCCAGAGAGGTAGTTGGGATGGTCGTTCAAATGGTCCAGGAGGAGTGGAGTCTGGCTGAATTCGAGTAATTAGCCCTAAGGCTCCCTCAATCTCAGAGGAGGTGGGGGAAGCTAGCCCTGGCTCAAAAGCCTTTTTGGGAGCAAGCTGCGCCCCTTGAAGAGAGGATGTTGTCAGGGATTGAGTTGAGGGAGTTTGTCCTTCTTTGGTCAAGGCAAGAGAAGAAGGCACTCCCAGCTTAGGGCTTGATAAGCTCAAAGTATTTCTCTGGATTATACTTCTCTAACTTTCGCTTCACCTTCTCATCCTCAGCACTGAGCTCAGGTCGAGTGCCTGAAAAACAATACAAGGAGAGCAAAGGTCAAAAAGGCAACTCATAATTTTCAAACCAGAACTCAATCAGTTCGAGCAAGGACTCACCTAAGTTATCGGGGGTGGACCAGGCTCTGGGTATACTAAGAGTGTCAGTCCTATCAGCAGGGTTGTACTCCTAGTTGGTGCCCCCAACGAAAAAGAATTATTTTTTTCAACCCTTATGGGAGCTCGGGAGGTGAGTAATGATCTGCCTAACCATGGTTCGCTTGGAGATATATAAGAAGCCCTCAGATGAGGTGAGCTTGACATTAAAAAGACCCACGAGCAAGGAAAGGTTGGGAACCCTAAGCTCATGTTTCTTAAATAAAACTAGAAGACCCACCAGAACACCCCAGAAGTTAGGAGAAAGCTGAATAGGGCAGACGTTGAAGTGTTGCAAAACATTCTTGATGAAGGAGTGCATAGGGAAACGAAGACCATTCTCAAAAACGGCCACAAAGAAACAGACTTTTTTATGAACCTGGACAACATATGGGGTGGATTTATCTGGACACCAGGGCTGGACACTAGGAGGAAAACCATAATGATCACTGAAAATTTTCATAAGAGAAGGGTCAACCTCACTAGAGCCTACGAGCTCAGCATGCCTAAAGGCAGCCCCTGTGCCTGCTGCGCTGTCAGAGACTCCTATCCCACTCACCTTGCCCTTACCTTTGTTAGGATTAGGGGGCACAGAAGAAAATGATGGGGGAGGTTCCTCAGTATTCGCCTCGGCGTCGACAGCATCAATACCGGAGAAGTTGTCAATTTCCTTGCCCACATCCACTAAATTAGTGTCCTCTACGACAGACCTTTCTCCCAAGAGGGAAACAAAGGAGTGAGTAGCTCTAGAATGGGTAGACATGATTGTACAAGAGAAAGGTAAATTGAAAGAATGGTAGAGGTGAGGGATACTAGTAAGGCACTCCCAGATAACCCTAGGGTCAACATAGTAGCTTCCAACAGCGAGAATTCGCACGATAGGGCACCAATCCAGGAAGTGGGGAAGAGGAGACAAGCAACAGTTTTGATTCCAAAGATAAAAGAACCGAAAAGCCCAGAAATGCAATGACCACTTCGAACTCAAGGGATCCAGGACTAGAAAAGGTGAAAAAGGGGGCAAAAGAGGCGTACCTAGTTAGGAAAAAGCAACAGCCTAGAGCGAAATTGAAGAAAGCGGGCAATGCGAATCTTCAAATCGAACCCAGAAAACTTGATCTTGAATAAAGAATCGGAGAACTTCAAACCAGAAATCCAAGAGACCGCAAGAAGAGAAAGACAACAAAGAAACCAAACAGTGAAAAATGGCGGTTCTGATAGAGTATTTAAAGCTTGAGAGACACGGGCTGAAGCTCGTGCGAGAATCGAGGAAGCCATGATTGCTGAAAACTATCCGAAAGTCATCTATCATGTGCAAGCCAAGGACAGCCACGTGCAAGCCTAGCTTGGTTTAAAACCAACTCAACCCCTACCTAGGCTCCCTTAAACTAGGGGCTGGGGGACAACTGATAATACCTCAAATAAGTTATAAGAGTGAGCTCAGGAAATGAGTTCAGGTCAAGTAAGATACGAGGAGCTCAGAAGTCCAGAGCTAGAGCTCCCCCTAGGGAGATGGTAGCGGAACTGACTAGGGGACAGTTGGATAACTGCGAAAATTGGGTTCAAAACATGAAACTCTCAACCAACCAAGATTCTCTTCTAAAATCTAGGAGAATCCCACTAATGACAGGCGAAGATCTCGGCTGAGATCTCACAGAATAAGGAATAGTTCTATAAATATTATGTAACGCCTCCATCAAGGGGGAGAAAGAGAGAAAAAAAAACCCTAATTTCGAGATATACCGTATTGTAATGCATTTGAACAGTGAATAGAGGAGAGGGAGCAAGAGCCTCCATTGAAGAATGGATTAACCGAGCTCCACAACCGGTGAACCACTATACTATTAATGTGCAAACATCCGTAACCCCCCAAAGAATACTTCATCATAGCCATTACGAACTTGGTAGCCTAGATACGCATTTGGTCACGCACACACGTACTCAACTCATCCACGTTGATTTACACCATCAATATCTATATAATCTTCTTGAATATTTCACTTGTAAAACAACAAATACATTCTTTCCATAGAGGTGGGATATTTTTTAAAAAAAATAAAATTTAGAAGTGAAAATAAATTAAAAAGGCTCCGAAGGCAATGTCTTATTGGCCAAAAAATGCCTAATTAGTTGGAGGGCTTGGGCGGGCTTAAAAGTTGGAACTTGATGGCCTGCTCCTCTGACTGTCACAAACACCAACCCTTCATACTGAATTGTCCACCCGCCAACCTGTAAAAGCTCAAATTATTTTTATTTGTTCCATTTTTAAAAATCCCTAAAACATTGTAAGAGAGAAATCACCTGTTGATTGGTAGTGTACCAAGGTGACCACTCTTGAACGGTGTTTAAACCGAGCTTTCGTAATGTGTATCTTGTTGCCGTTACTGGTATTCTTCCATCAGTATCTCCACTGCCCAAACAAAAAAGATAAAGATAAAGATAAAAAAAAAGAAAATAAATAAATCACTAATAGTTTAACAATGAAGTATCTATATAATAAAGTATAATACAATTCAAATATTAAAAGATAAACAAAATGATTTTTGCTTTTTACAGTTGAGATTTATTTAAATTTTACTTTAAAGTTAATCCGACGACTAATATTAACACCCCAAATTTAATAGAAAAAATAATTCCCTAATGGTGTGTTTGAGGTGATTTTTTAAAAGTATCTCTAAAACTTATAATTTCTCATAATTATTTTTTTTTAAAAAGTAATGTTTGGAACCATCCCACCACTACCACCACCACTATCACTATCACAACCACCCTCACCACCCCACAACAATCATCACTATCACTACCACCGCCACCCCACCACCACAACCATCACCACCACCACCACCGCCCCATAACCACCACTACCATTACTACTATTGTCGTTATCTCACTACCTCTACCCCCATTGCCCCACCACCACCATTGTTTCCACCATCCTACCCCCATCACCATCACCACCTTACCCTCATCAACCCCCACCACCACCTCACTACCCCCACCACCACCATCACCACCATTGTCTCCATCCCTACCACCATCGCCTCACCACCACCATTGTCACACCACCACTACAACAACCACCACCATTGCTTCCGCTACTCTACCACTGCCATCACTGTCCTACCATCACCTCTACCACCCTTCCCCACTCACACCCCCCACGGTCACTACCACCGCTGCCACCCCCACCATCGCTACCACCCCACCATCATTGCCACCCCCCACCACCACCGTCACTGCCCCACCACCAATTACTACCATTGTCATCCATCGCCACCACCTACCATAATTGTGATCTCATTTTTTATATTTATTACAATTATCACCATCATTCCACTACAACGTCGCCTACTTTCAGCACCCACCACCACTCACTACCATGGCCCACCACTATCCGTCGTCAACCATCATCGTCGCCAGTTACTGTCGCCCACCACCACCATTGACAACCATCACCATCGTTGCCCACCACCACTCACACTCATTGCTACCACCACTGTCACCTATGATTATCACTACCACCATTGTTGCCCAAAATCCACCACCATCACTGTTGTCACCCATGATAATTACTATCACCACGGTTGTCGCCACCTACCATAACCATCACCATCACCGTCTCCGATCACTTCCACTGCCGCGCCACCACAACAACCAACACTCACCCCACTATAGTCGGTGCTTAAACTTTGTCATCTCTATTTTATGTTTGTAATGTGATTTTTGGTGTGAATATAAATATGTTTATTATTGACTATTTTTCTTATTACTTTGTGCCTTCTGACACGAATAACAAATAGTTCTTCTATGTTTGATCCAACCTACTATGCATAGTAAAAGAATAAATAAAAGAAAACATGACGCGACAAGTGACACTTGACCAAAAGTCAATGTATAAAATAATGTTAAACATTTATACTCCATTTGATATGGTGAAAAAATTGAAGAATGAAAAATTGTAAGGATGAAAAGGTAGATAGATAAATAAAACATCATGTTTGGTAAGGAACGAAAATAGGAAGGATAAAAAAGTGGATGAATTAACATTCTTTTCAACTAACCAAAATCAATCCCTCTAAAATTGGAAGGAAAGTTGATGAAAAGTTAATTATTTGTGTTGAGATATATTTTATTTGTCTATATATCTTTTAATAAATACATATATTATGTATACATTAATTTCATATAAAAATATAATGATAAAATATGTATATATATATATATTAAAAAAATAAAAAATTAAAAAAAAATATTTGTTCCCACTTTGGTGAAAAATTTTCGACTCAACACGATGACATAACTCGAACTCGTCACGAATTTTATGACACGAACTTGAAAATGACCTGACATGCGAACAAGAAATATAAAAGACTCATAATTTTATGGCTCAATACGAATTTGACACGACACGACTTGATTGTCACCCCTAATTTTAGTCAACAAAAAAAAAAAATTAGTCATTTTATTTTCCATCCATCTAACTAAATATAAAAGAAATAAAGTATATCATTTTTACTTTCCTTTCTTGAAAAATAAAAAATGTATCCCTCCTATTTTGTATGATCTATACTAAACGAAGCATTAAACTCAATCAACAATTGGAAAATTGCGGTGTGTTTAATTTACCTATAAACCCATATACGGAGGCCACCGTCTATAAGCTTCTTGATGATTGGGAGTATTGATGCCGGTGCGTCTTCCCAAAATGAGATATTGTCACTGTAGGCCATATTAGCTCATGTTAGCATTTTAATACACAGTAAAAAGAGGAACAAAAATAAAATGCCCAAAAGAGGATTCTGTCTGCAAACAATTGGAGTTATAGTTTGGCGAAACTTCTTGAAAGTAACTTTTTATTTTTCTTTGTTTTTTAAAAGCAATTAAAAAAACCCAAAAGTAGCATTTGTTTTGTACCAAAAAATTAGTTTTGAAGAAAATAAAAAGGAATTTTTTTTCCTAAAAGCAACAAATTTGCAATTTTTTTTTCTCTTGTTCATATTTGTTTCTTTATTCCAAACTTATTTACCAAAGCGAAAGCATATATTAGGGATGTAATTAGTTATTTATCAAGAGGCAGAATATATATGTATATATATATATATGGAGTAGATATACATTATTTTTAAAAAAAAAAAATTCATCAAACATTCTTTGAGATATTTTAAAAAAAAAAAATTCATCAAACATTCTTTGAGATGCCAATAATATGATTTGTGGATATCTAGTCTCTTAAAAGCATATATATATATATATATATACAGGTGTGTGTGTGGAGTAGATATATTATTTACTGTATACCAAATATTTCAAAGTTAAATTCATGGAATAATACCTGCAGTGAGTCCATGGATAGGAAATTTTGGTAACATTGGCATGAAGTGCTTCCTGAACATCTGGCCTATTCATATAGACCTCCGTATAGTCCGACGCACAAGGATCAAAACCAGTTGGCTTCTTGTGCCAACCATCCTATAAAAAATCAACCAAGCCTTTAGATAATGGTTAGATGAGAACCCTTTCCACCTAATTTTCATGGTTTCATCCGGTTACCAACAATCATTGTCCTTATGTTTTATTTATTTAATTTTTTAATTTTAGAGAGCATCAAAACATATTCATAGTCTAGGGAGATCTAGAGGAGCATTGTGCTGGGGTCATCCCTGGATCCCGCGTCAATTAGGACATTGGGGTTGGGGGCCAGACATATGCAGGCGGAGAAACTATTTTTACAACTTAAACTGTTGACTATTAACTCATAATGGACTAACCTTTCTGCTACACGAATGATCATACTAAAACATTGCTGCAAACATTATAATTAAAAACAAGAACTCACAATTTTGGATAATAATTGAGGAGCAATGCCCCGGATCATAGGAAGTTGTCTGGTGCTGCTGAAGTTACTATCGATACAGGTTGGAGAATACAAACTGTACATGTCTATGATCTTGTAAACATCAAAGTACCGGTTGAGGGCCTGGTTGCATTCATCGGATAGATGCTCATTGCTGAAGTTGCAGCGACTCTTTATATCCTTGTACACACGATCGGATATCACCGCATGATCCCATGCATAATCTATCATCCCGGCCTGATCTGTTTCGTCGTCCAACAATGCATTCCCAATCTGCAGTGTCATTCATATGCATGCATGCAGAGGATTTTGGAAGTAAAAACCCACCCGCAAATAAATGTGTTATTCAATCATGGAAAGAGTGAATGCACCAATTCATACTGTTAACAACATAGTTAAAGGATTGAAATTTGATACCAGAATTTTTTTTTGTGCTTAATTCATCAAAGAAGATAATCACAAGTCCCAAGAATAAAACTACTTTGTCCCAAGATGATCAAGTATTTATGACTAAATGTTGTAGAAAAATCCAATGTCAAGATGCTTGAAAAATAAAACTGCATTGTGCCGTGTTTACTTCAACTATCAAGATGCTTGAAAAGTATAGCGTATAGCAATGTGAAAATACTGGTTTTTCTTTTCTTCTTTATTTTTTTCTTTTCAGAACTTTTGCAATGAAAATCAATTTCTTATATTTTGAACAAAGCTATCTTTGTTACAAATCCAAAGAAAAATGTTGTCTTTGGGTTAAATACAAATGGCTTGATAACACATGATGGGATGCTGCAATTGCCAAATTGGGAGAATTGGAAATGAAGGGACAAGTTAATACAAAAATACATCACATATATATACTTCAAAAGTAATTCATTTTGTATTGAGACAACATTCTCGATAAAATTAACTTTCAAATTGAAGGGAACACAATATGGACTATTGTATAGAGCAAATGGACGCTAGTTTACAGCAAATGAAATTGTAAACGAAATAGCTTAGAGAAAAACGCACCATGAATCCTTTGAGATTTATGTAGTCATCCTGTGTGACATTTTTATTCTTATCAAATATAAGCTCTGCTAGCTGGGGAACATAGTGTCCTACAAAGTACATTACAGATAGAAATGCAATGAAATGTGGGTTCAAAGATGGAGAAATATTGAAAATAAGTTTAAAACACAGGAGAGAAGCCACGCAAACAATACATGCTTACAATACAGAAAAATACATACTCAACTTCCTTTTACCTGCATAACTTTCCCCAGCAATGTAGAAGTCATGGGACTTGAAATGTGGGAACCTCCGAAACCAGTTAACTAGAAATGTGTGTGAATCCTGGGCTGAGCACGAAAAAAAATGATTGGCAAGGAAGGTAAAAGTCATCAATAATGAAAGCATTTTAATTTTTAGGAATCATATTTTACCAAAAATTACCTGCGATGGTGTCACCAAGCTCCTCGATATCACTAGTAGTATTTGTGTAAGAAAATCCAACACCAACAGGGGACTCCACAAACAACAAGTTGGCCGCTAGAAGAAGAAATAATCAGCTCAGTGTCTTGTTACTTAACATTTTACCATCAGCTTCTCTCCTTTCAAAGTGAAAGGAAAGTAGTAAAGTTAACAGTTGACTTAATTGCCACAGAAAATAGATCAATAACGTACACGTTTGGTTTCAGATGAGATTATATAGTTGATTCCAATCACATCCATCTGTTGGAAATCATTGGTATATCATGTATCCTGTCCCAACTGCTCTGTGTGCAGATTCAAATGTGGATAACGTGCGAGTTCGTGATCTTAACTGCAATCCCATATTGGATAGAGTCTAGATGGTATTAAAAAATGAAAATAAAAATACCTTATTTCAAATGCACGCGTCTTTCAGAGATACTCTAGTCATTTCGCCAATTAATTCTGACTAAGTCTCATTTAATGGTACATATTATATGGATTGATTTATATCAACTACATTGTGTAAGGTGATGATGTAACATTGAACCAGTGCTCACATAGGTGATTACACATGAGGCCTTATAATATGATCCTATCCTAAAATTGAATGACCACGACTAATTTGACCCAATTCTACCCATAGCATTCAAACCAAACACTCCCTAGGAAGAACAAGAGAATCAAGGAGGGCCCTTGGCAACCATAGCTTGTCCTGCCGACTAAATGAACTATGTCAAAAAAGGGAAAAAAAACTTGGAAGTATTTTAATTGGAGACCTCAGTATTTTATCAAGTTATTGCTACCTTTATTCCATGTGTGATTGTTGAATTTGAGCTCTGGTTTGCCTTTCAGAGGGAAGAAAGGGCCTACCTCCTCTGCTTCCCCATACCCAACTGATGAACATCCAGGCCCTGAAATAGTGCAAGATTAGTAATCTTTTCATATGATTCAATTATCAATCGTGTTCAGGTATGCAAGCACATGTATGAAGATACACTAAACGCAATTTTTTTCTCACTTTTAATTTTTAATTTTTTATAATTGACGATAAGTATGAAGAATCCAAACCTCTTGAGGTGGAGAAAATATTCATTGCAATAGTGACACCATGTCATCACTGTCACATGATGTCACAATTCAATTAGCAAACAACAAATAGGTAAAGTGGATCCCACTAATCCTATGTGTTGCTGATTGAATATGGTGGTTACTGGTAGTTATAAAATTGTACGGTTCACTTTATCTATATCTAATCTTTTAATTGGATGGTGACACCACGTGATCACTATCACGTGGTGTCACCGTTGCATTGAATATTTACTCACTCACTCTCTCTCTCTCACACACACATGTACACACACGCACATTTAACCGCTAAAAATTAAGGACAAGAGTTGATTGGAGCAATGTTAAAAATCTTAAGGAGTAATTTCTCTGTGTTGAAAATTGCAGCTAAGTTGGAGGGGCAGTTTATAATTAATCTTATAATCTATGATGATGCACAAAAATGGTTTTGCACACCACCTGTCAAATGTATGTAATAAATGCAATGAAATCAATGAGAAAATTAAAGAAGACACAATTTATAGTGGTTCGGTCAATTCAACCTACGTCCACTCTTCAATGGCTTCAATTGCCGGGTATTTTATTGATTCAAAGGTATGGAGAATAGAGACACAAGCTTTGAGAGAGAGAATGGAGAATCAAAGAAGTAGTAATCTCCGGTAGTCGGTTAGTCCTCTGTTAGTCTTGGTGGGGTGTGACATTCATCCTTTTCTTCTACCAGATTGGAGCTACTTTATAGCAGCTAAGAGATCATTCTTGTGGAGATCATGACTTATCCTCAAGGCTTCTTTATAGCAGCTAAGAGATTATTCTGGTGGAGATCACGACTTATCCTCAACGGAAGGAGGAGGTTGGGGAGCTCTTCATGAAACGTGGTCAAAGATTGGACCGTTTCCTTCGGTGGTGCAGATAAGCTTCCCATGCTCTACTCTTGGTGACGTGCTAAGCAAAAAGTCTAACCGGTCTTGG